CCCCCCCCCCCCCCCCCCCCCCCCCCCCCCCCCCCCCCCCCCCCGGGAGAGAGAGGGAGACACAGAATCTGAAGCAGGCTCCAGGCTCTGAGCTGTCAGCACAGAGCCCGACGCGGGGCTCAAACTCACGAACTGTGAGATCATGACCCGAGCTGAAGTCGGATGCTTAACCGACTGAGCCACCGAGGCACCCCGCAAACTTTTTATTAAATATACCCATTCATGTTACAGGGGATAAGACTATGGGATCCTGGGCACTTGGAAAAAGGAGGGATGTTTCTACGTTGAGTACAGCCTGACTGTGTCATCTCGGTTTGTGACTTTGCAGAGCCTGGCAGCACCTTTCTCTTGATCCCTACAGAATCCTGGACACCTGCCTCCATTTCTGCTCTTTTCACAGGCTATACTGCTGTATTGCTAAAGGATATATACCCATTTCTAGTTGGTCCCACAAGCTGTTCATGCCTGAATGTGTGAGAGAACTGGTGGAGTCAAGGCTTGCTGCTGGGAAAAAAATACTGCATGTTAGAAAAAAAAAGTATTATGCATAAAGAATTTATTTTTCTTACCTAAGCATTTGACGTCTCCCACTGCATAAGCTGAAGCAGCTCTGGGTTTGTTGGTGACCAGTGCAAGCTCTCCAAAGTACTGCCCCTTGTGGCAACGGGCAATCTCAACCTCCTGGTTCCCACCATCCTTGTTTGCTTTAGTCTAGGGCAGGTGGAAAACATGACCTAGACTGATTCCAGAATCACAGCTGGACAAGTCCAGTCACACACACTTGCAGTCCCGTCTCAGTACACTTAACACAATTATTTAGACATTCACTCTGCAGAGACGCTAACTGCACCATGTAAACTGCATGGGCTAATTAGTCTCTGGTTTAATTAGAGGAGCTGGCTTTTACCTCGGGCTTCATCCAATTCCTAACAACCTTTCAGAGGTAATGGATAAATATCAAGAGGTAAAGAGCAGACCATTTTCTTTGGAAGATTTATATATATATATATATATAATATATAATATATAATATAATATTAATATATACTACACGATTATATAACATCAGTATATTATACATTAACATAAATATATTTATTATGTATTTTTATTTATTATACATACATATATGTATATGAATGCTCTCTTTTTGGTAGATGCTGACTTCTGAGGCACAGGGGAAAAGACAGGTCATTTGCAAACTCCTTCTAAATGATGTCAATGTTTCTCTTAGGTAAAGTCACAATCCCAGGCTACTTCTTGATTTGAGATCATGTCTTTCTTGGCCAATACTTCACAGTGACAAATTTTCTTTTTAGGTACTGTCTACATCTTAAGTTAGTGGTTCCCAAGGCACCTGGGTGGCTCAGTCAGTTAAGCGTCCAGCTCTTGATTTCAGCTCAGGTCATGATCTCATGGTTCGGTTCCTGAGTTCACGCCCCAAGTTGAGGTTCATGTACAGCCTGGCACTGGACTCAGCACTAACAAGCCTGCCTGGATTCTCTCTCTCCTCTCACTCTCTGCTCCTCCCTCATGCACACATGCACACTCTCTTTCTCAAAAACAAACTTAAAAATAGTTTAGGGGCGCCTGGGTGAGGGCTCAGTCAGGTGAGCATCTGACTTTGGCTCAGGTCATAATCTCATGGTTCGTGGGTTTGAGCCCCGCGTCGGGCTCTGTGCTGAGTGCTCAGAGCCTGGAGCCTGCTTCGGATTCTGTGCCCCCCTCTCTCTCTGCCCCTCCCCCGCTCATGCTCTGTCTCTCTCAAAAGTGAATAAAGATTAAGAAAAATGAAAAAAAAATAGTTTAAAGACTTGGACGTAAATTTAAAAAAGTAAATTAAAAAAAAAAAACAGTTTAAGTTAGTGGTTTCCCCCCCTACCACCACACATTTTTTTAGAGGAGCTGAGTAACTAAAAACAATTTTTTATAATGTTCAACCTGGAAATTTAGTGGTTTAACTTTGTATTAAGAAATCGAACAGGTTGTAATTTATGCTTATCAAATTACTGAAAATAATGTACTATATTATATTTAATATCTAGAGGTTTTTTGTTTGGTTTTGCTTCTTTTTTTTTTTTTTTTTTTTTTTAAAAATCCATTTGCCAAGCTAAGCAATAATTTGTTTAAGTAAAAAGATTATTTAGAGTTTATTTATAAGAATTAGTCTCAATCTTTAAGAGCTACTTTAAGTTATAGGCAAATAACCCTCCTTGCACACTACTGCCCTGACCTGTTTGCTCTGCAGTTGATCTGCTCCATTGGAGCCAACAATCCACTTCCAATTTCTGTAGCATTCTCTGGGGCTGCAGACACGTTTGTGCCCACCGAGTCGCTTCTCCAGAGTAGCATTTACCACATGGTCATGTGAACACCAGCCCCCTGAGGGTTTTGTTACAATGCAGATTCTGATTCAGTAGGTCTGGGGCAGAGTCTAAGATTGCATTCCTGACAAGCTCTCCCAACCCCCAGGGCCACAGTGCTGCTGGTCCCACACACCCAACACCACTAGGCTGTGATCAGGAGGTGTCAATGAGTATTTGAGAAATATGCAAACATGTATCACTAGTCCAAAAACAATAAGTAAAAGAACATAGATGTTTCAACTTATTGTTTCATGTGAAACAGCAGATCCATTTTTTTTTTTTAATTTTTTTTAACGTTTATTTACCTTTGAGACAGAGAGAGACAGCATGAACGGGAGAGGGTCAGAGAGAGAGGGAGACACAGAATCTGAAACAGGCTCCAGGCTCTGAGCTGTCAGCACAGAGCCCGATGCGGGGCTCGAACTCATGGACCGTGAGAGCATGACCTGAGCCGAAGTCGGATGCTTAACTGACTGAACCACCCAGGCGCCCCCAGCAGATCCATTTTTAATCACGAATCAAGCCACCTTACAGGGAGTAATCATATTTATCCTTCTCTATATAACCTTTACTAAAGATATTCTATAAGAGACTTCATATTAGGTCAGTATTATATTTAACTATTTTAACAAATTCTATATTCTTTTAAAAAATGTTTATTTTTTATGAGAGAAAGAGTGTAAGCTGTGGAGGGGCAGCGAGAGAGAGAATCCCAAGCAGGCTTGGTGCTGAGAGCCTGACGCATGGCTTGATCTCACAAACTGTGAGATCATGACCTGAGCCAAAATCAAGAGTTGGATATTTAACCAACTGAACCACACCCAGGTTCCCCTAAATATTCTATATTCTTAAAAAAAAATTGAACAGAGAAATCTGGTGATGACGGATTTATGATAAGGATTACTCCTCCTATCTATTGGTCATTTTAGGTCTTTCTATCCATGAAATGGTATAATAACAATGGTCCTACAGACCTCCCCTTCCAGTGCTCTAGAAAGGAAGTTTTTTTCATATTCAACACCCACATGTATGTCTTTATCATGTATTCCCCCCACTTTCTACTAGGGGTATTTAGCTTTTTCTTATGGATCTGTAGCGATTATTTCTCATATCATTAATTATGTAACAGATGCAAAGGCAATAGGAACAAAGAGAAATATACTAAATCCCTATCACTGGAGGGACTTAAACATGGGTCTTTGCCAGTCACATGCCTCATATAACAATGACACTAGATACTAGACACACTTCCCATTTACAGCAAACAGCTACTTTCTGTGCACGCACCTGGCATAACTTGCCTCGTCACACACAGACTCACCTTGCTTCTGATCAGGATGCTCACCTCGCCGGACTCTATAATATAGAAGCTATCAGCCTTTTCACCCTGGAAAGGGAGAGGAGGTCATCAGAGCTATATATTGGCACAGGACACAGAAATAGATAATTTTCTCATTGCTCAAACTCCAATTTGTATTTAATTTGCAACTCTACAAATTAATCAGTGCCTAACAAATTCAGAACAAAATGAGAGGATCCTGGTCACCAGGGACTTCAGTCCAACTATGACTGACACATCTCTCACTTCCTAACATGGAATATTCACATTTCTCTCCACAAATATGCCCAGGCTGCCAACTGCTCACAGCATCACTATCTTTGCTGCTCATGTTAGTCTGCTATTGAAACCTGTGACTGGGACCAGTCGCCAAGGCTGCCACAGACAGTATCAAGGTGACTCCTGGCTACCTCTGGGCATGGGGCTCAAGGATAATGCAGCCCTCCAGAGGACAGTGTGGATCTGAAGAAAGCCCTGCCTTGGGGAGGGAGGTACTGTGATGTGGGTTGATGTCAACCTTATAAGCCTCAGGCTTTTCTTTCACTTGTTTGGATTTTAAACCACTTGGCTGAACCAGTCATTCAGGTAATTCAACAAGTAATTAAGTACATACTATGTGCCAAGGCACTGTTCTAGGCATGTGAGACATATCAGTGGGCAAAACAAATATCCCTACCCTTGTGGAAATTACAGTCTAATATGGTAAACAAACTGTAAACAATCAACATAATGAATCAGCAAATTATACTGTTGTGTTGGAAGGCAATTAAATACTACAGGGAGGGAGCAATGTGGGATCTGGAGTGCTAGGGAAGGAGATGGCTACAGTATACAGCAGAGTTTCATCTGAGGGTGAGATCTGAGCAAAGGCTGGAATGAGGGGAGAGAGGCAAGCAGACACTGAGAAGAGGATTTCAGGCCAACTTCAGTATCTGACCCCTTCCTCTTAACGTTTGGGGCAACAACCATCTACACTGGATAATTCAATACTAGTCCTGTGTTCTCATTCCATGTGGGTCTTATGTCTTCAGTAGAGTCTATACTTCTTCTGAATTTTCCTAAGACTTAAGTGTCGTTGGCCACTGCACAGATCTCCAAGTGGACATCTTACAGCTGAGGCTGCCATTCTTGAGTAGTTAATCTAGTCCCAGTTCATTAGATAATAATCATTGCTTTATGTGAGTAAAAAGCACAGCTTTAAAAAGGGCTGTCTGTGGGTTTCTGTGCTGCCGTGTTGGGTAGGTACCCTGTACCCAGCAGAGCTAAATCAACATGAAGTTCTAGTGTTACCCAAATAGCTCCCTGAGAGTTGATGAAGGAAACTAAGGGGAAGCCAGAGGTTGGGTCACCAGGAGGTTGCTTCTAGGTCCAAGAAGGGAGTTTCACAAAGGAAGATGGGATTATCAGTATTCAGTGCTGTTGGAGGTCAAGATAAAGATTCAAATGTGTGCGGGGCTCTGAGTTGTCAGTACAGAGCCCAAAGCGGGGCTCGAACCCACGAACCATGAGAACATGACCCAAGCCGAAGTCGGATGCTTAACCAACTGAGCCACCAAGGCGCCCCTGAGCCTTTTAATTTTACTAATTTGCTAATACATCACCTGAAAGGATTATCATAGTTCACAAACAATTTAAGAAGAAAAAATTAAGGGGCGCCTGGGTGGCTTGGTCGGTTATGCGTCCGACTTCAGCCCAGGTCATGATCTCACGGTCCATGAGTTCAAGCCCCGCATCGGGCTCTGTGCTGACAGCTCAGAGCCTGGAGCCTGTTTCAGATTCTGTGTCTCCCTCTCTTTTTGCCCCTCCCCTGTTCATGCTCTGTCTCTCTCTGTCTCAAAAATAAACGTTAAAAAAAATTAAAAAAAAAAAAGAAGAAAAAATTAAAAATGAAACCATGAATAATGATACGATCAACTGAAAATGGTCTATTTTTGAGGCATCTGAGGGATACTGTCTGCATTTCCAGCCTCATGAAACAGCCTGGTTAGGCTGAGACAGAGATGGGCCAGGAGAGATATTTCCTGCCTCCCTCAGGTCCAGTGATAGATAGTGCATGCAAGCTGGCTGTTCAGACTTTGCAGGATGCCTCTCAGTTTTTAGGGGAGACAGAGCAGAATGAGATGACTACCCCAGTAGCAAAAAACAGGAGCTCAATGGAAGAATGTCCCTGCTTTTCAAATTGTTAAGTCTGCTAATAGCATCTGAGTGTACATCTCACAGAAAGAACATTCCATTGTATATTTAGGAGTAAAGAAGCCAGACTATATTTTACATTTTTTAAAAAGTTTATTTATTTATCTTGAGAGAGAGGGGGACCACAAGAGAGAGAGGGAGAGAGACATAATCCCAAGCAGGGTCCTCACTGTCAGCACAGAGGCCAATGTGGGGCTCAAACTCATGAACTACAAGATCATGACTTGAGCCAAAGTCAGACACTTAACTGACTGAGCCATCCAGGTACTGCTATTTTACATTTTTATAATTTTTTTATTAAAACATTTTTTTCTTAACGTTCATTTATTTTTGAGAGAGAGAGACACACACAGAGTGCAACGGGGGAGGGGCAGAGAAAGAGAGGAAGACCCAGAATCCGAAACAGCCTCTGGATTCTGAGCTGTCAGCAGAGCCTAATGTGGGATTGAACTCGAAAATGGCGAGATCATGACCTGAGACAAAGTCAGACGCTCAACCAACTGAGCCACCCAGGTGCCCTCCTATTTTATATTTTTTGTGAACATATCAGGTGTTTCAATAAACAGCTTCTGAATGTCTATGTGGCAGGCACTGACTATGTTATCATCCATATGCTAAAATTCACTGGGCTTTATATTAAATAAATGTCTTTTTTTCACAAATGATGATATAGGATCCATATCCCATCCTAAGAATGACCGAAACTCTAATTCAGGACATGGTATGGTACTTCCTTTTTTTTTTTTTTTTTAATGTTTATTTATTTTTGAGAGAGAGAGAGAGTGAGCACAAGCTGGGGAATGGCAGAGAGAGAGGGAGACACAGGATCCAAAGCAGGCTCCAGGCTCTGAGCTGTCAGCACACAGCCCAACGCAGGGCTCTAATCCACGAACCTCCAGATCATGACCTGAGCCGAAGTCAGACGCTTAACCGACTGAGCCACCCAGACACCCCAACAAAATGGTACTTCAATGCTGAATACATGAAACATACTTTTTATAAAACAAACGAACTTCTGTCCATATCATCCAGAGAACAGGTAAAACATTCCATCAATTAGGATAAATGAGCAAATTATGAAAACACTACAAAGTATATAAACATAACATAAAAAAAAAAAAACCCAGAGATAAAAATTTGTGTTGATGAACTTGAAAGGATGAAATAAAAGAAAACTCTGAAGTGGGCAGCTGGCCAGGGGCCTCCCTGACAGCATATGTGGTCTAGAGAACACCTAGAGACAGGCAGAGATGCACACTAGCCTCCCACCAGCCCCTGCAATAAGCAGTAGCTTCTGTTCTCTCCACAGTATCTGGGCCCTTGCTGGACACCTGCATTAGCAAGGCACCCACCCTCAGACATAATGACCTGTGAAGAAAGCTGGGCTGTAGGAAGAAGCTGGTGGCATGCTGGTGCTGAAGAGTCACAGCATCCAAGCACAACTGTCCAAGGGGGCTTAGGGCAGCAATCTCTAAATGCTGGTGACCACCACTGATCTTCTGGATGTAGGGAAACTTCTCTTGGTTTCAGCTCAGGTCATGATCTTATGGTTTGTGGGTTCGAGAACCTGCATTGGGCTCTGTGCTGGCCGCCTGGAGCCTGCCTGGGATTCTCTCTCTCTCCCTTTCTCTCTGCCCCTCCTGTGCTCTCTCTCTCAAAATAAATAAATAAACTTAAAAAATACTAAAATGCCCATATTGGAAAAAGAAGACAGGCTAGAAAGTGAAAAGCTAAGCAACCAATTCAAGAGAACTGGGGAAAAAATAGCAAAACGAAGTCGAAGAAAGGAAATGAGATAAAGACAGAAAGTAATGAAATAGAAAACATTCAACCAGATTAATAAAAGGCAAAAAAGTGGTCCTTAAAACAGACTGAAAGAATTAGTAAGCCCCTTGCAAGATTGAATAAAAAAAAAAGAGAAGGCACAAAACGACAATATCAGGAATTAAGATGGGATCATTCTAGATGTTGTAGATACTTAAAAGGTGTTACAGGAACATTCTGACCTACTTTGTGCCAAAAAACATTGAATTTTAGATAAAATGAATAAATCCGTAGCAAAATAGGTCTTACCAAAACACACTGAAGAATAGAAAACCTAAATAGTTTAACAATTAACAACTTAATTTGTGGTCAAAATCTTCCCACAGGGGCACCTGGGTGTTGGTTAAGCGTCTGACTCTTGGTTTTGGCTCAGGTCACGATCTCATGGTTCTGTGAGTTCAAGCCCTGTACTGGGATTATCTTGGGATATCTTGGGATATCCCAGGCGCCCCATGAAAATCTTAAACAAAATATTAACAAATTGGATTCATCAACATATGAAATGGATACTACACAATGGCCAAGTCAGTTTATCTTATCTCAGCAACACAAGGCTGCTTTAAGATTTGAAAATCAGGGGCGCCTGGGTGGCGCAGTCGGTTAAGCGTCCGACTTCAGCCAGGTCACGATCTCGCGGTCCGGGAGTTCGAGCCCCGCATCGGGCTCTGGGCTGATGGCTCAGAGCCTGGAGCCTGTTTCCGATCCTGTGTCTCCCTCTCTCTCTGCCCCTCCCCCGTTCATGCTCTGTCTCTCTCTGTCCCAAAAATAAATAAACGTTGAAAAAAAAAAATTAAAAAAAAAAAAGATTTGAAAATCAAATCAATGTAATCACTGAAGTCTTGTTAATAACAGCTAAAAACTAGAAACACACCTAATCTCCATCAGCAGTGGGAAGGCAAATAGTTTATTTACATGCTGGAATACTATACAGCAATGAAAACCAACAAACTACAGCTGCACACAACAATGTGGGTGAATGTTGAGCAAAAGAAGGTACAAATAAAAGAATACATACATTCTAATTCCAATTT